GTGGCCCTCTAGTAAAATCTGTGACTTATATGACCCTCTAGTAAAATCTTTGACTTATGTGACTCTCTAGTGAAATCTGTGTCTAATGTGACCATCTTTTAAAATCTGTGACTTATGTGACCCTTTAGTAAAATCTGTGACTTGTGTGACCCTCTAGTAAAATCTGTGACTTATGTGACCTTATGGTTGCTAGTAAATGTGTCTTTGGGACCCTTATCCATGGCTTTTGATGACTTCCATGATCCCCAAGTAAAATCTTTTACTATCATTGACATGGTTCATTTTGTCTCTAGTGACAGAAAGTGTCTTAAAAGTGTCTGAGACTGTGGAGCAGTCAAAGATTACCTCTTACTGATGGTTCATGATCGATGTTTAGGGCTTCTTTGACATTCCCGTGGACAACTTGTACGCAGAGCCGGCCGTTCTCAAGTGGATCAAGGAGAACATCAGTGAGTGGCGCAACAGCATCATTGTGTCTCCTGACGCTGGGGGTGCCAAGAGGTGAATATAAGTTGTTAGGTTAATCATTGTCCTTGGTTGGAATATATTATTGATAAAAGGATTACCTTATCCAACCACATTAATACATTGACCTGACGAAGCTTTAAGGAACGAAACTAGTTGTCATACCAGCAACTGTGGTTGGATAAGATAATCCTTTTATTTCATCATGAATATAAATTGTTAAGCTAATATAAGTTTTTAAGCTTTAGACTGAACTAGACATTACATTAAAATTTGAAAGTTGTAGCCAGATTTAGAATGGAAATGAACATATACTAGAGTCACACTAATCCAAACCACGTTATGGAACTAGGACATTCGGAATAATCACCTTATATGGTCGAGTGTCCATTCATCTTTGCCATTCCATTGGTTCTGTTTTAAGAATGCAATCACCGAGGATGATCTTGGGTTTGATTGTAATATAAATCAAAGTTAGTTCCGAGATAACAGGATTTACTCAAGGATGATGATTGCAGTGTTTTTATAATTGCAGGAAATTTCCACTGTGTTTCCGATATACCATATATCTTTAGTCATAAAAATACATTACCAGTACTTTAACTTTTGGTGCAGTTTTACTGCATTTGTGGCTAAATTGTAAAATTTTGTAAACCGAACAGGGTCCAGTCCCAATTATTTCAGATTAGCGGCACTGAGGTGTAGTTGAATTCAACCACGGACGGAGTGTTTTGATGTTTGTTTCTGATTTCTGTTCTACATGCCAACTTTTTTTATCACAGGGGATGTAGAAGATGTCCCTTGGTCGCGAAAGATGTTAACAATTCCACCGTGACCGCAGGGGGTGCTCACGTCTTCCTAGTGACTGAGGACGATTTCGTTAATTTTCAATTTTACTTGGTGTTAACACTTTCGTCGTGATTTCAGAAGTCACTCTATATAAATCATTATGCTAACTTGCTTACTTGCTCACTTGCTCAAACAAATTCAACATGTACTGTCAGTAATCAGTTACTATTGTGTCCCTTATTTCATTCAAATACAATTTCCCAATCAAGCATAATGTCTTTTCACTGTCGAACGGTCATGAGTATCTTTTCACGTCAGATAATACGGTTGTTTGTTCAGTTCAGTTCAAAAATCTTTATTCATATAAAAAAGCTTTTATAGAATTCCATATTCAACCATGTGTTGGAAACACGTGTGGTTGAAAAACTTGAAAATATATCTTATATCTAGATAAATACTTTCTTGAGTAGGTCCATTTTATTTTAATTAGTCACTGTTACTGATACCATTGACTATTCTGATACTTAATATCTATTTTGATTGTTTTTATTTTTTTTACTATAAGACTTATGGTTCGTCGCTTCACTGGCTATTCACACTTGCATACTATTTTATATACAAAAATCTTTTTAACGTAATAAATTTGATAATTAATTGTTTTACTTTGTTTAATTGAGCCGTTTTTATCAATTCCTTTAATTTACTTTTATACAATTCAATTTTAAAATCCTGCATACTTTTGAGTAAATTTAAGTTAAAACATTTTACTGCTTTATGGTACACTGTAACCTGCTTGTGTCTTTCATAACTGGTGGTCTCACAATCATACCCACAGTACAGTTTCTTGTATTCCTATTAATAACAACTGATTTTGTTGTTGGCTACGAGTTACAACAAATCTCAGAGGCTCTACCAGGTTCTCCAGTTTCATGATAGGGTTATGTTGTACTTGGTTTTTGGAGATTTCTGTAATAAGTCACTTAAGCACAATCGTGTCGTTTTGTATCGCAGGGTGACATCAATTGCGGATCGATTGAATGTGGAGTTTGCGCTGATCCACAAGGAGAGGAAGAAGGCCAACGAGGTGGCGTCGATGGTGTTGGTGGGAGACGTCAAAGACAGAGTGGCTATCCTGGTGGACGACATGGCTGACACTTGTGGCACCATATGTCACGCGGCAGAGAAGTGAGTCAATTTAAATCAGAATTACAACCTCCAATACACCCAACAGAGGTGGCCCTAAAGGCGAAAGGTGGTGCCTGGGGCCGGCGCTTTTCAGGGCACAGCCGTATCTCAGGTAACTTGAGAGAGGCCCGCTATTTAACTTCACCTTGGACCCCGTCATCACTAGGTGCCCCGCCACTGATACCCATCCATTTTTTTCTCCCTATTAGGGATAATCGAGATTGGATTTTCAGTTGGATACGAGACCGGATTTCCCTTATCGTACATAATGGGAAATGAGCTTCGTGCGGCTGTCGTGCTACTCTATCCCTCTCCCTCTAAGCCCATTCTTTTTCTCACACAGTCAGCTGACTTGGCCGCACGCTCACGATAGTCTACCTAGCGGCCGCCGTGGGAACTATCCAAAATTCAGATATTCCCAGACTGAATTTTTAACAAAGGCATTGCGCTTTTTGTATTCATTGAGAATGTTGTGCCGGTGTAAATATTGTATATAACGTAAAAAGAACATCTTAGAATTTTTTCTGAAGATGCCACTGTGGCAAACTAACTAACAATATTTGAGAAAAAACTGAATTCTGCTGCTACAAAACAATGGCAATAAATTAAATTTTCTAGTTCTTGTCACTAGGAAAACAAACAAAAAGTAAATTTGAGATTTCTAACTGGGTCATTGCTGAACAAACCTATAAAACAGAAATTTCTTTTAACAAAGTTGTTACTTTAATTAAAGAATCAAATTAATTTATTGGCACATAAGTACAGTTTACATAAAGAAAGTGCTTATAGAAGTAACTTCAGGCAAGTTTTAACTTCTGGTGTCTCGTCCATTACATAAATATAACTAATTCAGTTTTTTTGCCTACTAATTTATTTTTGCCAATTTATTTACCCATGAAGCTTAAAACAAATATCTAGTAAACAGACAACATGTTGACAACTGACGTTGGTGCTAGGATGTAAACTAACGGTGTGTTCCTTCTGCAGACTGATGGAGGCTGGAGCCACCAAGGTTTACGCTATCCTTACCCACGGAATATTCTCAGGACCAGCCATTTCCAGGATCAACAATGCCTGCTTCGAGGCTGTCGTCGTGACAAACACCATCCCCCAGGAGCAGCACATGAAGGACTGCCCCAAAATCAAGGTGAGTCCATCACCTCAGGATGTCTTAAGCTCCAAGATATCCTTGATCCCCTCAAAAATTTTCCAATATTTAAGCAGGATCCCAAATGCCCTTAAAATCTCATAGAACTTGTCCCGAATGTCCTTAAAATCTAATAGAACTTCCTAAAAATCTATCCGAACCCGAATGTCCTAAAAATCTAATAGAACTTGTCCTAAATGTCCTTAAAATCTCATAAAACTTGGGAATTGTTCATCAAAGTCCCTAAAACCCCATAAAACTTAAAATTGTGTATGTAGGTGATGTAGAAACCCTGATAATAAACACTGTGCCTAACGATTTTGGTTTTTATAACAAATCTTTCATATGATAAAGAATCATTGGTCTCTTTTGTTCTAAATAAACGTAGAAAATAACCGATCAATTCACAAGAGACCGGACACAGTGTACTCATAGTTACGGGTGTTTTTTAGATGTTTGAGATGTTCCTACGTATGAATTCACAATCAAGTTATTGTTTCTGGCCTGTTTCAGTGTATTGACGTCTCGATGATGTTCGCTGAGGCAGTCAGGAGGACACATAACGGAGAATCTGTGTCCTATCTATTCTCTAACGTTCCTTATTGAATACTGTTTTATATTAAAACAGTACAAATGTTATTATGTTAAGGAATATCAAATCTCATCTAAGGTTTACAAATATGTACCACTCTTAGAGCAGTGGTCGCTACTTATTTTTATACACAATTTGAAGTTATTCAATATTATTTAGCCGAGAAAGTTATTATTTGTATTCTAAAACTGTTACGAATAACACAGTGAGCTTCTTCTAATCAAGCTGTACATGGATTATTGATAGTGTATTATGTTAACTGTGATTAAAATGAGAATGACATTTGTGGCTTTATTTTACCTTGAAACTCGGTGAATTGTAGTGACTTTATTGTAGTTGTGTCTTGTCTGCCATGCAGCCTGTGCCGGTTTGTCTCAGGTTGCAGGTTTGGCCGGCCAAGTGTGTATTTACAAATGTTTTCCTGGTTTTCAAATATAAATACTATACGTGTCAATGTGTGTTTGTAGTTTAAAATTTTTGTTGGATTTTATACCAATTTCATGTTGGATTTGTATTCTATTTAAATTTTATTTTTATATAATGTAGACTAAGTTCAGAAACATGTCGTCAAAATAAAATAATTATATACAAAAGCTTTTTTAATTGTGGTTTTAATTTTTATGAACTTATATAACTCAATATGCGAGTATAAAATAAATTTGAACGGATGGTGTTTTTGGCCTCTGGAGACCTCAAAAGAAAAAAAAGTAAATCCGTTCTGCGTCTGGGTCTTCCCACAAGACCAACGGTATTAGCTTATTCCCTATATGGGAAGGAACTTTCAAATAAAGAAAACAAAATGTTATTACAAAAGCTAAAAAATTTATTCCGTTCCAACATCCATATAGTAAAATTAAAATCCTAAATGGTAACTCTAATGCTTACGCAGGGACAATACTGATCACAAATAACCTACAAAAGGTACAAAAAACATTCAAATTTGTAAATTACACACTGCAAATCAAATCATGGTATACAATCACAAAAATAGGCCAAAGACAAAGAGAGATAAATTTAAGTGAGTGAGAGTATTCATTGCACCATCTGATCAACACACATCAAAACGTGATGTTAATATACGTGATGTTAATGTATATATAGATTCTCTTCAGTAAATCTTTGTTTCTCATTTATGATATGATTCTCGATTTGAAGTAACTATTTTACTATCTTATACTAGCTGATACAAAAGTTTTTTTTAGCAAATATTGCAGTATTTGATTGTACTTTTTTTGTATAGAAATACAGTGCAACCTCGATAAAAAGACTCTCATAAGGATTATTAAATAAGACTTTTTATCAAGGTTGACTTCTTAACAATGTTTAGAATAACACGTAGGGGTAAAATAAATTTAAGGGAATTTGAAAATGAAATGACACTGGTTAAGGTTGACTTGTTATCGAGGTTCCACTTACAATTTCAATTGATGAAAGTAATAAACTACACCAGTTGGCTCCTTTTCAAACCTTAAAACTTTGTCAGCCAATGAAATTCACCATAACAGAGTAAAACTAATTTTGCTCTGATTGGAACATTTACCGCTCAGAGTGGACACGGCACCAGCGTACCAAACCGAATAAATTCAAGATTGAATGCAGAATAACTAATAAGAGCTACTATGTGATTCTGTGCTGGTCAAATATAAAGTCGTTGTAATTTGTAAAAACAAAAATTACAAAATATTAGTAAGTGCCTTTCATTTTACCAAGGAATGTTTTTAAAACATGTTTGTACAATACTTCAATTTTTTCCCAGAGCCTCCTAGTTATCTACAAGTAAAAAATACACTCGTCAAACACTTATTCGTTTAAAAAATCTCACGACTTCTCACCTTAACACTGATTAAAAAAATATTAATATAACATTGTAATATCATCAAAGTGTCTCTTCTAGACCTTGTTAGGTAGCCACAAGGTCTAGAAAATATATGACTTTGCAGCAATTAAACGTACGAGATCACTTATTTGTGATTTTGATGCAAACGATTCATCAGTAATTGTGATGGCCAGGTAGGGAGGCGATGTAACACTTACATCTAAACAGCTGATCCAACAAGTAAACATGCTATGTGAAGAAGGTAGCTCAAACACGGCTTCAGTTGAATCGGTAACCATGCGTTGTTGCCATCGTTATCCTAAGATGCCATAAAGCAGCCTATCACATACACGGATTTCTTTGTGGATTATCAAGCACATGTAAAACATCAAAATAAATTATACTGTTCAATCCTTCGTTGCACCAGGAGGTAGGCTTATGTCAAACACTATTGGTTGATTGTTCGGTAAGTAGTTGACATCACAGGTTGAAGCGTTAATGTAGATCACCCGCCCATCTGAAGACACACCATAACCTAGGAAAATAAATCTTTGGTTTTAATAGATTCAAATTGGTACAGGTTACAAACACAATGTGAGTAATACACCAATACACAGCGGGACTGAGTTAAAACTACGCAAACTCGTTGGTACTGAATAACCAACACTATAGCAACGCGACTGGATATGAGCTTGTGAAGGGGTTCCCCCGCCACAGCAAACATCAATACTAAGTGAATTACCATTTGCTTAAATTGATTTCCATTTCAATATCTCCTTAAAACATGGTATATGACCTATGTTGATGACTACAGGATTATGGCCTAAAATCTCCAGTTCTACATTTCTGTTGCAAGAAAACCTGCATCCTTTAGGGTAAATATTTAGTTTTTCCAACTTAGAGTTTGTCTATTGGATGTTTTTCCTCTTATATATGATATGATTTCATGGTTAACATAGGAAAGTGAGTATGCTTGTTTTCTACCATTAAAATGAAAAAGAATGGAATTTTAGGCCACGATACAATACTTCTAAACTAGGAGAATCAATAAACTTTTAAGGGAGATATGACTGTTTCTCCAGAACTTGCAAAACTGGTTTAGATCACCTAGCTCGGCCTAGCACTTTTCACTATGGCATTGTGTAGTGTCGTAGCAGTTAGATGATTGATTACTGTTTTCAGTTACCTTCATGGACGTGTCCAAAAATGTGGTACCTAGGTCTGACCCTCTGTTGTACAGTAGCCAGCAGTTCCACACACCCTGCGCGGACACCCGAGCAGCACAGGTCACCATGTCCTATGGGTGGCGTGTGCGTCACGAGTACATCGGTGTTGTCTGGAATCTGCTGCCACTTGCTGAGGCAAGCTTCACCTCGAGGCAGGTTGAACGCCCACTTGCAAAACTCCGGCTGCCTGGTCAACACACACAATAAACCATATTAGCAAACCGACACGTACTTTCTCTCATTAGCTCGACATTAAAATCGAAACACAGGTGTGATTGAATGAATAAACAGTTTAAGAAACATTGGCTACAGACTTCAGTTGTGCTTATTAGTAAAAGGTGACAGAGTTACTGACTTACAGGTATTATGACTTCATTATTATATGGGGTGACACAGGGTACCTACCAGTTGGTCCAGTGACTTCAGGGGACAGCAACGACGTAAATGCTCGACCTTTTGTACCGATGAGGCAATATTTCGATTTGATTTGGTGGCTTGCTCCTAAAATATGGTCCCTCTCATTGATTCTTCATTGTGAATTAAATAATTATTTGCATCAAGCAGAGCAAAAAACCAAAGACACTGTGGCGGACCTGGAGATCGCGGGGCCCAAGGTGAAGTTCAATAGCAGGCCTCTCTTAATAACTGAAATACACCACACGGCTGTGCGGGGGCCCCTGAAAAGCACGGGGCCCCAGGCACCGCCTTGTTCGCCTTTATGTAGGGCCGCCACTACAAAGAGAGGTCTGGTCTGGGGAACTTTATTTTGGTTTTGGCCCAATGTTTTCCTGTGACTTTTGGGACTTTGAAAGGTGGATACCCTGTGAAAAGAGACTACTCCTCCAGTTAAAGTCAGAGCCCTATTTCCCATATATTCGAGGAGCCCACAGCCTATTTTCCCCCTGAATTTTTTCTACGCTAACGCTTTAAGTATAAGCACACTCAGCAGCTTACCACGGCGACCCGTAGAAATTCAGCCCGTATATTCCTATCGCCTGGTCCTGCAAGTAGGTGCAGTTCGTCAGACACTCCTTGATGTTCTGCATCTTCACAGCCTCCGCGATATTGTCCTTGGGCAGACCCAGCGTGGGGATCTGGTCTATGATGCTGCCTCCTCTAGAGCCGTCACTGGGAGAGTGGCTCAGAGGATGTGTGAACGTCCGGTCAAAGCTGAGCTCGTGGTTCCCAGCTATCACAATTTTGTGTTTGTGTGGCAGGCCGCCTGGACACAAAATTTATTGTGTTTTCAGTTAATCGAGATGGACATTTCCTACCGCTGTTCAATAACACAACGTTTCGGGAGGTAAGGAAACACCTCCTGGTTTCAAAAAACAAAGTATCTTAAGTTTTCTTAACTAGGGGCACAAGGCAAACCCGCTTCCACGCTGACCCACGGGATCATGATTTTAGCCTCTATGCACCAATATGAGGTTAGGTGGGCTAACTAGGAAAATGTAGATTTAGGGTCACACGAAAAAAGGAGGAATTTTCTTCACTCCTGAAGCATAGTGTAGTTAACTAAGCGGTAGTAATTGAAGATCCATGTTACTTAGAAAAAAGTTAACTTAAGTGTCAAAATTAAATTAAGATTGGATAAAATTTGTTTAAACTAGACTTGACTTTTCTAATTTTGAGTTTTTATGCCTTATGATTTTTCTATAACCATAAGTAATATTTGGTGTGTACATGCTATTGTGTATGGTATTAATCTTAAAAGCTAAGTTTAATCGTAATCAGTAGTTTACTAGTTTTGTTCATTGTGTTTTTAGAAATGTGACTAAATTAGCACTAAAATTTGAGTAATATATTTGATTGTTTTTTTGGAGTGTTTAATAACTTGAGTACTTTTTGTCCGATTTTGATAAAATTTGGTTTGAAGGTGTAAGGCGGGATACACTTGAATGAGTTCGCGAACCAGCATGATCGGACTATGGGAACGGGGGTTTATGGGGGATTATATGGGGTAAAAATAGGTTTTTCCCATTTTTGACCCTAAAAACACAAAATTTCACAATTTCTTTTTAAACCATTTTGTAGAGCTTAAAAAAACAAATAATTTAGTACATTGAAGCGTTGTTATGCGCCTAATTGTTACAGAGAAAATTCAAATAAATTGTAATTTTGAAATTCCCATGTTATTCTTATGGAGAATAAGTCAACTGTTGTAGTTTGCTTGTTTATGAACATATTTTGATAAAATTTGGAAAATACATTAATTTCTTACTAAACCACAGTACCTTTTAATATTTTACATTAAAAAAGACTTTTTTACCCTCCCTGTTGCAGCAAACCTAAGTACTCATTAAACTAATTCTGTTTAAATTGGGAATAAATGTGATATTTTTAAGGAGACATTTTAGTTTAAATCCAATCAGGAAAATTGAAATTCGCTAAGTCTGCAGGTTTGCTGCGGCGGGGGTATTTTAGACACTCTATGTTAAATTCAAACCTCCCTGTGGAGGAGCAAACTGCTGAATCACATAATATGTCTGAGTGGTATGACTACACCTTAGCGAATTGAATGTATCGATACAACCCCAGCACAAAGCATAGCACACCATTTGTCAACTCTTCACTCACACCTGCTTCTTTCTGCTACCCAACCTGTCTTATTTGGAGAACACTCAGTAGGCTATAACTTCTATTTTAACCATGGTATTCTGGTAAAATTAAAACACAAAACTCATTCTCCAGATAAAAGAATATCCATTAATTCATTACCTATCCAATTGTTGAAATCAATAACTTCTTCTAATCCTCCACATTTTGTAAAATCCCCAGCGTGTATGAAAATGTCGCCATCAGGAATATCAAACTTGATGTGAGAAGTTAAAGAGTGTGTGTCACTCATACAAACAACTCGAGCCTAGAAAAAATGCCATTCGAATAATTATCTTCAATTACCAATTATTTAAGATGGGGACGCCACTATGTGCATATTTTAACACAAATATGAGTATAGGATGAGTGGCCGATCTTGTAGTTTTGTTAGTGACTAAGGCCGACACAGCTTCCTTAGACACAGCTGCTAATTAATAGCCCAAACAGCTAATGCCAACTAAGGGACCTACAGTTTATAGTGGAATCTGAACCACATTCTTGCCTTGGTATTAACGAATTTGTCTAGGATAGTAGTCCTACTGCGGATAGTCGTAGTACTCACTAGTGTGGACGTTAACCCACACCAGGGAGTATCGCATCCACAGTGCATCTCTATAGACATCCACAATTCGTGACCTCCTAGTAGCTGGATTACAGGACAACGCCACCGTCCCATCTTGCCTTAGGAATAGGTAAATAAGTGTAAATGAAAAACATACGTACAGCGTACAACTAATGCCCAAATTAGTAGTTTCTAAATAAATTAGGGCAGGACACGTACTACAGAGAGAACGGGGTTCACTATTAAAAGAAGCAAGCATAGGAAAGCCAGAAAAGAAATTACCGGTACCATTAGGAAGGCCCAAGAGATGGTGGGATAATGTCTCCAAGGACGTCTGAGAAGTGTATATATCGATTATTTCATACGATATGTCAAGTTTGGTTAGTTAAGTTAACCTAACTTAACTAACCGAATGAAATAATCGATATATTGAATAATCTATATATCGATATTTTTCACTCGAACTAGTGTAGGACGTTTATACTAAAGTGCAGCCGCTGATTGTTACAAACAGTGTGGTAGGCTTAAAATATAGGCCCTAAACACAATCTTAAATAACAAAAAAAACTATTTTCTAACCTCAAATAGCCTATGTCCGTCAAGCATCCGGACAATCTAAAAATAAGTTTTCGGTGGGAATAAATCTGAAATTAACTGACGGAACTGTGCCAGATGAGTGTAACCTAGTTACCACAATAGAAAATCCACTATCCACTAAAGAACCAGAATGTTTTTTTACTGTGAAGCAACTGCTGTGTTTGAACCTTGTAAGTTAAGTCCCCCTCATTTTGAGCACTTAAGACAGAACATTTTAAGGCTTAATGGGATTCAACTAGGTGGGTACACAATTTTAACCCTTGAGGAGGTGCTTCACCAGTAAAAGAGGTGCGGGCGCATGCAGAGTTTTATTCCGCAACACTAAATAGCATAAATTTTACCCATTTTACTTGTTGTTATAACGAAATATTATATGTAAATGATGAATAACATAATATGAAATCTAATTTCTTTGTAATAACATTATTTGTTTAACTTTATATGAGTAATATTTCAAATAATTATATTGAGCAATTTTCTAGTATAGGGTATGTTACGAGAGAGGGCGCTTGCAGAGTTTTGTTCCGCAATAATGCAATTGTACATACATGCAAACAAAATATATTTGATAATAACTTAATTATATAAATAAAATATTTAGCCTACATTTAAACATGTTTATAATTTTGTAGGCCCTATGTATAAAATATACACACATTTTGACAATAGCGCATGAGGAAATAAACTCTGCGCCAAGGACTTAAGCAATAGGGCGCACACGGAGTAAACCTCCGCAAACTGACACCGCATCACTGAATTGCAACTGACAACAAAATTAGGAGGAATTCGGGGGTAAAAATAGCTTAGGGTATTAACAGGATGAGGTGCGTGAAGTGTAGAGCCGGACACGGCTGCACTTTACTTTAGGTCCAACACTCATTCGAGTGAAAATATCGATTGTTCGATTAATTCATTCAAAATATCATTTGGTTAGTTAGGTTAGGTAACCTAACTAACCAAACGATATATCGAAAGAAAAAACCGATTAATCGATATATCGATCGATATTTTCATTTGAATGAGTGTAGGACCTAAAGTAAAGTGCAGCCCCGGACACGACTGCCGACACCCGTTAAGCATATTTCTATTAACAAAAACTACAAGGAGGAAAACTCCGCATGCGCCCGCTCGAGGGTTAAAGTGATAATCAATAACATTTTCACTAAGCATTTAATCAAGGACAGGTTAGGATTTCAAAGCCTCTAGTGAACAAGACGGCTGCACTTTACTTGACGTCCTACACTCATTCGATTGTTTTTTTCGATTCGATATTTTCATTCGATATATCGTTTGGTTAGTTAGGTTAGGTTAACCTTACCTAACTAACCAAACGATATATCGAATGAAGCAATCGATTAATCGATATATCGATTGATGTTTTCGTTCGAATGAGTGTAGGACGTCAAGTAAAGTGCAGCCAACAAGACTTTTAAAAATAAGGAGTTTCCACAGGCTAATATGCCTATATTGTAAGCTAACCCTAAAATGAAAGGGACAATCCTTGACTTAATCACACTATTAAGCCTACTTTTAATAAAAAACCATAATATCCTACCTACCTTATTTTGGCTTACTTTTTCTTTAGGGATGTTGACATGGATTTTAATAACCTTCTGAGACTGGCTCAATTCTTTCCAAGCAGCAGTTGGGTTATTTGTTAGGGGATGAACTTCAACACTCATTTTAATGTTATTTTATATTAAAGTCAATTTTGACATGGAAGAGACATCAAAGGGAAATTTAAAACCCTAGGCCTAGTTCTACTTTTACTTTACTTACTCCCATCTGACAAGCTCAAGCTCAACAAAAACACAACAATTCAACCATTACAAACAAACAACCACTGCACTGATTAACACGAACACAACGACAACATAGGGTATAAGCCACTTAAGCATAGACTATTGGTGCATAGAGTCATTTCAGGTCACTGAACTAAAATTATAACTGGAGGTAGCACTGCCATGGCAGAAGTCTGTCAAAAGCGTGTCGCTGATTTTGTTAGGTTGGTATAGCAGTAAGTTTTCTTATCATAGCAATGACATGGCTTCTTATAACTAGGTTGGTATAGCAGTGAGTATTTTTGTCATACTTGAATACTTTTAATACTTTAATAATTTTCTTTGAAATGGCGACCATACAAAGTAGGTATTTTAAGCCAAGTATAATAATAGTTATAGCAATAATATGGCTTCTTATGACACCAGACTCACGCAAACATGGCGGCTGGCGACACGCATCTTTGACATTCATTCAGTGCTACCTCCAGTTAGATAGCTCAGTGTTTCAGGTGCTGGTTGGCTTGATCATGGCAGGCCTCTTTTCATAGAGAAAGGGGTCCTAACTGTATAAAGTCTATACATATTTCATTGTGTTGTTGCCATAAAGGAAAGAAATGGTTTATTTACATCCGTTGGTGAGGTTCATGAGCATAATCATTGACTATATAACACTACATTGTTATATAGTTATATATAACTATATAGCTATATAGTTATATAGTTATATGTTGTAGTGTTATATAGTCAATGGCATAATACAAGGTCAAATAGAAATTTGTTCTATCCCAGAACTAGGCTTGAAAAAACTTTGAAATCTTTTCCTGTTTCAGGTATACGTTTTTTTAACAAGCTGCCTGTCACCGTCAGAAACCTTCCCCTTCCAAGATTCACTCAGGTCATGAAGTCTTGGCTCATTCTACATCCTTTTTACCACACTAATGAATTTTACAACACCAACCTCAACACCTCTTCTGCCCTATTAAACCCCTAACTTCTGTACCTTCCATCCGGACCAAATCAGGTTTCATATTTATATTTTTCATATTTATATTTTTCCAAATCAGGTGTCTTATTTATATTGTTTGTCATTCACTTGCATGTGATTTGTGATTTGCACTGTTCTAGATATAAGCATGACGAAGCCTATTGTATTTTGTAAATATTTAATGGTAAATAAATCTTTGAATCTTTGGATACAGAAGTCAGGTATAAAAGTAACCGTTCCGCACATTTTTTTATTTCAGCTGCGGTTTTTCAATACGGACGAAATGAGAGTTAACAAATTATAAAATTAGTTATATAATTTTAAATTTATGAAAAAATTTAAAATGATTATATATTTTTTCTTAAATTTTTAATTAATTTATATTCATTTATTTCTAATTATTTTTTATAGGCTATAAAAAATTATAAAATTAATTTTATTATGTTTTAAGTAGTTGTGATATTAAACTGTGTCTAGCTTAATCTGTTATAATCCATATATATGGTGTCAGAAGTGGAATACGAATCCACGCCCTCATGGAGGACCAGAAGTTGAGTCTGAAGCTGTTAGTATCCAAATATATTATGTACTACAGTTCAGAAGTAACCCGCGTTCTAAGCTAAATCGTTATCAAAAAGTTAACTTTTCAGTGGGATTCGATCCGGCTACCTTCAGTTCATCAGCCAGGAACGCTTCCACTGCACCACCGAGGCCGATGGCTCTACCGTATCGTTGCGGTAATGGTGTTCCCCCAAGAGAAGAGATCTGATCTGACACTGACAGCTGACGTCATAAAAGGCTCGTCTATTCCTCCCTTGAGTAAATACCCTCTAAAATCACGACGCCCCACTCCGCTCCCAATCGATGTGTGATTTTTTTAACCCTAAACTCACTCAGTCAAGTCAGTCAGTGCACTAGGGTAGTCTGCAGTGTGGTGAGTGTCTCTCTCTCTCTCATCTCTCGACTTCGTATGTCGACCACGGCCGCCTTTAACTCCAGGCCGTGGCCTTCGAAGTGGCAACGTCGCAAGTGGTGTTGTAACAGCTGTTTTGTTTGGAAGCAGCTAATAGTATTTGTATATTTACTAAAGATTGGTTACTGGAACTATGACAATATTCGAATATTCCGCTTAAAATGTACATATATATTTAACTCATATTGTTTCGTCTTTCAGTTCTGTATGTTTTATTTTATTTATTTATTTGTTTTATTACAATGCTGCTAAACAGGATAAACCCAGTTACATTGTAGCATTAAATATTTACAAAATACAATAGGCTTCGTCATGCTAACAACAAAATCTTGACATGCATGATAAATAACCCCGGCTTGCCCCCCATGCATGATAAATAGCCTCCCCACATTCCCTGCTCAGCCCTAGACCCAATATGTCATCAGGATTCACAGCTGTTATTTCAATATTTTAATAAATTTATGTTCATAAATTTAAATTTAAATCATTAAGGTGCGAATTAATGGCTGTCACCTGTCCGCCATGTTATCTTATGGGACGTCTGTCACTAAACAACACCACTTGCGACATTGCCAATAATTCTACCAGTCCGCGGCCTGTAGTTAAAGGTGGCCGTGTGTCGACAGATGCGCCACCCGCGCCAGGCGCCACGCCACCACTAGTAAGTAGTGTAGTGACCACTGAGCTATAATTCTAACTGGAGGTAGCACTGAATGTCAAAGATGCGTGTCGCCAGCCGCCATGTTTGCGTGAGTCTGGTGTCATAAGAAGCCATATTATTGCTATAACTATTATTATACTTGGCTTAAAATACCTACTTTGTATGGTCGCCATTTCAAAGAAAATTATTAAAGTATTAAAAGTATTCAAGTATGACAAAAATACTCACTGCTATACCAACCTAGTTATAAGAAGCCATGTCATTGCTATGATAAGAAAACTTACTGCTATACCAACCTAACAAAATCAGCGACACGCTTTTGACAGACTTCTGCCATGGCAGTGCTACCTCCAGTTATAATTTTAGCTCAGTGGTAGTGACTGACAGATCGCTGGCTGAATTCGAACTCTTACTTGGTTGTCTTTGTCTAATGTCTAGTTGAATGAAGAGTTGAAGTTGAGTTGAGTGGACCAGTTGACTTTGACTGAGTTGAGTTGCAGTTGAGTTGAAGTTGAAAGTTAAAGTTGGAGTGAAGTCGTCGTAGATCGTCGATCGTGTTGCGACTGTGAAAGTGTGATTTTGATTTTTGATTAATAGGAACTTAGCAACACCGGTTTACTTTTTATAATCAATAACTTATCCTCTAATCTTTATAGGCCACAAACCCTTCTGTGTACTAGAACTATTGTTATATTAGGGCATATAAATATCGCAATTTCATTACAGTAGGAACCGCTTTAAGTTGACTTTCTTTGTCTAAAGACGCCTCAATCAAGATTGCAACAGCAGCCCTTGTCGGTAGAAAGTTCAAAGATAACGCAACATACGATCATTGACTGACCTGGCTTCTTGGATTTTCTGACTAATCAAGTTGGATTTGGTTTAGTTTGACTAAAATGTCGGACCAATACGTCTTTGAATTGTGTTATAAACGACAAGGAAGGAGCCCTGATGAAAAAGAAACTCAATTCGTGATAATTGATGGCTCTTCAATGGCAGATTTCTGCAGACTGAAGGAAGACTTGGTAAGCCCTTATAGACTTAAGTAGGACATATCCTTTGTGAGCCTAAGCCTCTGCCCTATGCTGTCACTGGCTTCATAAACTTTATCATGACAAATTTATTTTCTTTTGGCTAAGGCAATAAGTTATGACTAAGTTTAGGCCTAGCTGGTGTGCAACCCAACCCATCTTTAACTTAGGCCTATGGATACTGAACTAAACTGGTCCCATGAGGGATAGGCCTAGGTTTAGGATAGCCTCAGTCTTGGTAATTATTTGATAGGCTATAGGCCTATCGGCAAATATTTGATACATCTACAATGCGATATTGTGTAATTTTTAGATGTCTAAAAGTATTTTTCACGCTGAATCCAAAAATGCAATCAGTTTTTGTCAGAGAGATTCATAAGTGGCCGTAAAACGAAGGTTAAAATTACAAATCCAAGGTTCATTGAGCTTACTGATGGTAAGTTACGGTACCTAATATGGCGTGGTCTGGACGGGTCCGTATGTGGACTGTGGACTGAGTGAGGAGGAGAGCAAACAGCTGTTTTATAGGTACTCGACTTAATGTGGAATGAAATAAATTTGTTTTGAAACCAAATAATCAGTTCTTATTTTAGGCATGTGAGGAAGGTAGGTCCTAGGTCGGGCTTTACACGGATTCGTAACTGTATTAGGCCTAAGTGTTTTGAAGTGAGGTTAGATTAGGAAGGTAGGTAAAGGTTAGGTTATAATGAACCGACTCATTAATAAATGCAACTTCCAGACTGTTTTTGCAAAATTAAATAGTGGGTGAAACACAATGAAATAACGATATCAAAAACACTTTGATGCGGGAGCTGAGGGGGCCCGCAAACCGGTGAGTGGGAAACGGTGAGCAGAGAGGCCCGTGAGACGAGTGGGGCTGAAAAATTGGAGTTCATTCTTATTTAAATGTATTATCAATCATTCAATAATTGTATTGAACAAGTAATGACATTGATGTCATTAATAATAATGTTGTTATCAGGTAGGCCTATCGTTTAATTTCGTTAGGCCTCTTCAGTGATAATGAACTAGGGTAACAAATTCAGCGTGTTATAACGTGGGTCTTTGCAATCTTACTTTTGTCAATGAGAATACTTTACGGTAAAATAGGCCTATGCATTTTAGGGTTTGCACGCGATTTTTGAAAATTTTTTTTCATTCTACTCGAAATTTAACGCTCATTCCGAAAATGACGTTCTTTTCCCGCGGAAAACGACCATAACACGGAAAAATGACCAAAACGACCAAAAATTTGTTTTTACCAAAACACGTAATATGGGTACTCAAATTAACCGTAATATTAAGCAGATCACGACTATGTAAGAATTTTTAGGATCCGAGGTCAAATAAGCGAGATTTTTACGAAAATCTGAGATGCTATTTTGAATTTTTGCTCCAACTTTTGTCTGTGTTGAAATACCAGCTGATCAGGATCAGCTGGTCATTATTTTATTATAAGGCAAATATTTGAAATATCAACAACGCGATATTATGTACTTTTTTGATGTCTACTTACAGTATTTTTCACGCTGAATCCAAAAATGCAATCAGTTTTTGTCGGAGAGATTCCTAAATGATCGTAAAACGAAGGTCAAAATTACGAGTCTAAGGTTAATTGAGGTATACTGATGGCAATATGGCGTGGTCTGGACGGGTCCGTATGTGGACTGAGTACTGAGTGAGGAGGAGAGCAAACAGCTGTTTGTATTCGACTTAATGCGGAATGAAATCAATTCGTTTTGAAACCAGAGATAATCAGTTCTTATTTAGGCATGTGAGGAAGGTAGGTCGGGTTTTATGCGGATTCGTGACTGTATTAAGTGTTTTGAAGTGAGGTTAGATTAGGAAGGTAAAGGTTAGGTTATAATGAACCGACTCATTAATTTATGCTACTTCCAGACTGTTTTTGCACAATTAAATAGTGGTTGAAACACAATGAAATAACGATATCAAAAATGCGAGTCAAAGTAGCCCCGGTTGACGGTACCTTCCTAATCTAACCTCACTTCAAAACACTTAATACAGTTACGAATCCGTGTAACCTTCCTCACATGCCTAAAATAAGAACTGATTATTTGGTTTCAAAACAAATTGATTTCATTCCGCATTAGGTCGAGTATAAACAGCTGTTTGCTCTCCTCCTCAATCAATCCACAGTCCACATACGGACCAATCCAGACCACGCCAAATTACCATCAGTATAGCCCAATGAACCTTAGATTCGTAATTTTAACCTTCGTTTTACGGCCACTTATGAATCTCTCCGACAGAAACTGATTGCATTTTTGAATTCAGTGTGAAAATACTGTAAGTAGACATCTAAAAATGACACGATATCGCGTTAAAGATATATCAAATATTTGCCTTTGTTTTTTCAATCGCAGAGGATACGGGTGTAGTAACCGGACGTGGATTAGGCGTCTGGCAGTTACTGTCATAACCTAACTTAACCTAACCAACCAAACTTGCTGATAATGAAAAAATCAAATGAAGATTAAATTCTGTTCTTAAAATAAAATTATAAATGCAAAAATTCTAACAAAAGATGTACAGTTAAGAATAAATGGCATTCAAAGCAAAATCTGTGACAAAAGTTAAAGTTACCGATGGGATTCGAACCAGAGACCTCTTGCATATCAGCCGAACACCCTATCCACTACACCTTGAAAAACGATGGCTGAACATCATGTCGTTGAGGTAATGGTGTTCTGGGCCCCCACAACCCGGTGACCTCACTGCCAGACGCCTAATCCACGCCCGGTTACCAGATGCTTATCCTCTGTGTTTTTCAATTTGTTCAAAACCTTCAAATTTATAAAAATAATTTAGGCAAACTTAGGCCCATAACAACCATGTCAAAACAAACTAACTTATGTTAACTTTAGTTATAGACCATTAAATAAATCTTAGTCTAAAAGGCAATAGGGTAGATAACGGAAGTGCTATAATGTAGATAGGTAACAGTGCTATAAATAACTTACAGGCAATAATAACAGACAGTAGTTGAAACAGTCAACATCAGTGGTGCTCTTTCATTGACAGTTTTGCTGAGTTTGTATATTTTTCTGCATTATTCCAATGCCAATGGTGTTACTATATCTATATAGATCTCGTCCGCTATGATTACCCAGGTGCGATATTACGAGACCCCGAGATTAACTTACATTGCGCAGTAATCTTTTGCGCATCATAACCTCGCAAAGAAAGGAGAGAGAGAGAGAGAGAGAGCGTTAGTTTATATGAACCAGTAGCCTACAATGTTTAATCTTCAGCCAGCCCAGGAAGTGAAGAAGGCGTCATTGTACGAGATCTCATACCGCACAGCTGTATCATTATTATCATTATTTGTTTGTATTTATTATTTTTCTACAATAAAAAATTAAGAAAAATATGTGTTAGGCCTATCTGTTTATTTACGAATTCCTAATAATCTTAAGTAACCGTTTTAAAATATATATTTTATCTTTGTATTATCACTTTTTATGCCAAATGCGTTTCCTTATGGCTGGTTTCAGGCTAAACAAAATACAAATGAAATATGTTTGCAAATTACTGTTTTTTAGCCTTTACCTTTTTCGGTCCCAATTGGTTCTGATTTTTGATGCCCTACTCTAGATTAGCTATTTTGTTAGGATTTGATTCCCTCATTTTACCAGTCAAATCTGCATTAAATGAGTTTTTGATTATCCGAGATACACAATGTCTCTATTCTCGGATAGCCTAATCAAGGCTCTCTATTGTATACCAATAACACATATTGCCAAATGAGCCATTCCAAAACAATAATCTAGGTAAAATTAGTAGTCTACCTATTTTTAAATTGCCTAACCATTTTCCAGTCCCCTTCGAACTCCAATGAACATGCTGAAATGTTGCAAAAAATACGCCCAAAGAGTTTTATTGTGTAAAAAACATACCGGTATCATTGAATGTGCTGTAGGCCCTACCAGTGGGGTTTACTGTGCTCCCAAAACAAATAACATTTACCCATACAGTAATTTTGAGTTATCGCAACTTCAAAATCCTTATTCCTGAATTGCTTATCAGACAATGAGCGGTTGGAATGAGCCTCTTGATATAACCTCAACCAGTGACAATATTAGACACTCATCAAAATATTCCCTTATTCCTCTTGACATAATTTCTAACTTCTGACATAAATTCTGACATAAACTGCATCTAGTCCTTTGAAAGTAGGTGTTGTAACTCTTTATAACATAATAAAAGATAAATCAGATAAAAAAGTGTATTATTCCATTAACATAGAATAGAAACTAAACATAAACAATAGTAATCAATAAGAATAAAGATCATATGATCAGCTGGTAATTCAAATGCAGTCTATTAGAAATTATAACAATCTTCCCCACATAAGTTTTGAGCTCACACATAAGCCTCAAGGTAACTTGGCGGTTGTCGAACACGTGTTGACCTACGTAACTGAGGTGACTCAACTTCATCGGGAATCTGGATGTCACATTCAGGATGCTGAGCCTCCACTACCGGTATTTGGCCAGTCGAGGAACGTCGAGGTGATTGATCTTGAATTCTGACTTCATCAGGAAAATGGATGCCACATTCAGGATGTTGAGCCTCCACTACTGGTATTTGACCAGTCGTGGAACGCCGTTGTAGCGTACGACCGACAATGGTTGAACCACTGTTTGTAGAGCGTTGTAATGCTGGTATCCCTGGAATATTGAACCTAACAGTACGTCTTTGGATATCTTCTGACTGTTGGTTAGTGGAGCGTCTTTGATTATCTTCTTCCCGTTGATTTGTCGTTTTAGGCGGTACTCTTGTTCTTATGAGTTGATTGATGTGCCTTTTGATTAAGCGTCCAGAGTCAAGCTTTACCATGTAATGTCGATAGCCCAGTTTGGATTGGATGGTTCCAAATTCCCAGATTTCGGCATTTCCAGAGTAAAGGCGAACTTGGGCTCTATCTCCTACTCTCATCGATCTTACATGTTTTGTCTGCCTAACTTCTTTTT